GCCCGCAGCGGGAGCGCCGCGGCCTGCGCGTCCTCGCTGTCCTCGCCGTGCGCGGCCCAGAGCGGCTGCTGGTCGCGGTTGAGTTGGCCGGCCGCGGTTCAGACAGACCGAGTACAAACTTCCGTCAAAGAGCCTTCCCAGAACAAACTTAAAACTGTGAATGTCGTTTCCAGGTACTGATCCCAATTCGAAGTGCCATATATACGCACAGAGTTAATATACCACTGATTAAACTCAGGCTTTTGAAATCAGACGACTGGGTTACACTACTAGGGTTTTTTTTTTTTTTTTTTTATGTTAAACACATGTATTTCTTCTGCGTTCAGGGAATTTTTGCTGAATATGACATGTTGTTTAGACTGGCTAGGAAATGTGTGTACTATTAGGAGATCTAAAGGATAAAAGCACATTGATATTTGTGTGTGATCTCTATTCAGGTGACAAAATAAAGCATTTTTCTGTCACTTAGATATTTTCATCATCTAAATTTAGAATTTCAATTTTAAACGAAAAAATATTAAAGAAAATGTAAAATTTGCAACAATACACCATGCTGTTTTCCCCGTCAAATTTCAGCATACTGAAGGGTTATGAGCGAGTAGCATGAAAACGAAGTAGAATTTAACAAATTCTCAGAATTTTTATTTGCTGATCTCATACAACAGAAATCGTTCCAGTTGTCTCACCAGAATATAAGCTGGATAATGTCTGAAATTAAGACAAATACTATCATTAAACCAGAAAGAAATGGCAAACCAGGTACACACACACCCACACACACACACACACACAGAAATACAGCATTAAAATAATGAATGGGGTAAATAATTTTGTGAAACATTATTTAAAATATTCTCCTTGAGCAATAACACATTTCATTTTAAGCAAAACACGTGGTTGTCTTTTTTACACTTTGTCTTCTAGAGCCAGCCCAATGGATTTGATGGAAATTGATTCATTTTGTGAAGTGGCCACAGACAAACGGTTCTAGGTTTTGGGCTGTGTTCCGAGAAGCCAAAAGTGTCTGCAGCTGCTTGAAGAGAAGCCGGTGCTCCTTGTGATACCAACCTCTGGCAACCAAGTGTCCGTGACACAACCCGAACAAAAATCATCCCTGCGACGCAGCACACACTTGAGTTTCCTCTAGCCAGGCATCTGGGTAAATTCCTAGCTTGTGTTTGCACTTGAGGCAGAAATACTAAGCTGGCGTTGTGAAGGTGGTCCAGCCCCTTTCGGGATACTTCCTCTATAAAAGCCATTCATTAAACACTTACTGAGCCCCCAAGACAAAGAACGCTTAGACAGAACTGATGACTGACCCTTCTAGACTCTGTCCCTTGGTGTGATGTAAGGCTGTGACTGTTGGTCAACCCTACTTGAAAATAAGCAGAAAGAGAAAACAAGCTGTGAGGCTAGGGTGTGGTCGCCTTTGGACTCCACATCGATTGCCCTCAGGAAGAATCCCTTCCCAGCGGAAAGGGAACACTGAGCCGTGCTTTGGAAAACAGTGGATCCTGGCTCTTGGAGAAGGCATTAAAAATATTTCTGTGTGACAACATGCAAATCCAGACAAAAGTCAGCATCAGCTTTTCATTTAGCAGTTCATCGAGTAGGCTATTTATGGACTGGGGCTTCTGATTTGCAATACATCATCTCAGGGTTCAGTGTTATCTTTTGATTTCTTTCCAGCTGAACAGGCTGAGTCGTGTGAATACCTCTGTCAGCCTACGCGGTTGGCTATTCTCACACGAGAAGTAATCTAAGAGCCCACTGAGCACGTCTTCGGATAGCACTCTGGAAGCTGGCAGCTGATGTGCTTTGCCAGCAAGGGGGGCGGGGAAGGTGGCGGCAGGCGATGGCCATGGCGGTGGTTGTGGCTTGGGTCCCTTTGGTTATGTCAGGACACCCTTCGTGCTTGGAGTCCCGTGTCCTCCAGGCCTTGGTTGTTTGCCCTGCCAAGGAAGGATGTTTCAATGGCTACGCAGAATGTGGACGGAGAAGTGGAGACCATCCGTGATGTTCAGAGGACAGAAAGGTAGATGTTTCTCAGTGTTTCTAAGAGCTAAGAGAAGTAGCGCTGCAGGGCTGAGGAATCGTGCTGTGGGGACACAGCCCCCAGCCCCCACGCATGCAGAGACACGCACACACTCACACACACATACACTCACAACCCCTCCTAAAAATTTCAAAATGGTTGAAGATATTTCATTCAGTAGAAGGTTAAAGGCGTCCCCATCGCAGGAAGGATTATCTTACCGGAGGATTCTGGGACTGCAGATGTATACTGCGGCAAAATCCTAAATTCATCGAAAACAATCATTTCTGGACTCCAGCTGCTAAAAATCATAGAATTGTAGTAACTCATGAGTAAGATTAAAACAAGCCATTTTCACATTCTAAAGTGTTCAGGGAAAAAAATGAGTCTTTTCTTTTAACTCATTTCTTAAACAATGCAAATTTTAAGGTAGCTTTTCTTTCCAGAGCACACAGCGCCATGAAATCGATAATTTTTGATCTTTCGGTTAGTAGGCAACATGGTGAGCTATTGCAGGGACTGCAGGCAGCAGACATGTTCTTGTCAGCTAAAAATTTTAATATTGTTTTCGAATCCATTGAGATGTGTAGATGTAGTATCACCGGTTTTTTGTTTTAGCTTGTACTAGGCTATGGGGGAATGCAAACCCTCAGTTTATCGACATAGACATGTCTATTGCTTTCTCTATATTAAAAACAGAGAATCTTACTGGGTCCTAAACAAAAAATTATGTAAAAGGAGTGGCTAGTGTGATTATAATCCCATCATGCAGGGTCCACGGTTCCCATTTAAAGAAATTTCGCAGAGGGCAACTTCTTAAGAACATCCCTGCTGTGCAGAGTGAAAGGCATGAACAAACCAAAGACAGAATTCATCTGTGTTTATATTTTACAAACAATGAAAAACCTACTCTTTGTATGCCTTTTTCCCCCACCTTCTTATTTCATGGAAACTGCAGCATCTCCCCGCCCCCACACAAACACTCACCGCCCGCTCTGCGGTCCTCCGTCCCTCTCTGGCTTGTCCTTCCTCTTCCTTTTCGCTTTCACAAATTCTGCACGCGCCATCTTTGTGTGGGGTGATTCTCTGCTAATTTCAGTTACCCATTCTCTCACAAATCAGTTCAGAAATAGAACGATATGGTGTGCTGATGGGGCTTGATTTGCCTGAATTTCTTTCAGTCTTCCCTTCTGGCATAGAAAAACGGAAAGGACAGGGGGAAGCCCCCCAAAAAAGAGGTATTTCTATTATTGCCTTAACCTGTTGTATACAGTGGTGATAAAAATATTATAATAATAGCAACAGCTGCAGCCTAAATAGAAGCTATGAGATAATTAATGTGCTACAACAAATTAATGTGCTGCAGGTGCTGCTGTTGAGAACTGACTAACCCATGCCGTGTAAAGCCCAAATACAATTACGATCCCCTCACTACCACAAAATACAGAGCAAAATGTCCAGTTTGGTAAATATGCCGACCATTAAAAAATAAATCAATACAAATCCTCCTTGGTGCCTTTCCCTGCCCCCCCACCAAGCCATCCCAGGTGGTTCAGTCATCTGTGGACGCGCAGAGTCCGGGGTCCCGGCGGGCGTATATGTGCACCGGTGTGTGTGTGGCAGGTGGAGACAACGGCTCCTGTATATGTAAGGGGTTCATGCTGTGGCTCAGTTGGGAGATGAAAAGACCAGCTATAGCTTCATTTTTAAAAATTAAAGATAGCCTGTAATATTTAAGAACTTTATTGGTTTTAGAAGAAAAATGGGATGTATCTGTGTGTCTACCTAAGAAGAAAAATAAGCATTGAATTAATACTTTTAAAAATCACGTCTTACAAAGAAGGATACAGGCTTGTAGCGTGGCCTCTTCGCTGGTGTGGAAGAGAGGCTTTTGTCTTACCTGCTGTTGAGTTGTGTGTTGTGCAGGGCGCTCACTGGTTGTGTCAGAAGTGTGTGCCTGACATCCAAGGCGTGGGGTCGGACAGGGTCTGGAGAGGTCACAGGGCCAGAGCAAGTGTTCCTTTTCTACTTTCTACCACTCGACGAAAATAACTTCGGGCAGGGAAAAGTGGGGGAACATACAGATTGATTTTTAAAACCTACTCAGCTAAACAATTCTCTTATAGTAAGGATGGAGTCATTTCCAATTTTGCTCCTAGGAATGCTCTGAAAGAAATGACCTTTGTTTGCGTTGCAACCTGGATTTTTTGTTTGTTTTATTTGTTTGGAGAGAGGGAGACAGAGAGACAGACAGACCATAAAATCAGTCAATTTTTCAAGGTTATTGTTTATTAAAATTTATTCTATTGGATGACTTTAATATTTAATTATAAATCATAATAAAATAGATTAGTTCCTATACAATGAGAAAATGTTTACATTTAGATGTAATTTTGCAGAAATTTCAATTCTCGGACATACAGAAATATCCCGGCAGGACACAGCTTCAGTGACACCCAGAAGATGTCTGCATCAGCATGGGTTTTGTTTAAAATGCATTTTATTTCGCGGACTCCTCTCATGTGGATGAGCGATGACCAAATCACCACATTCTCTACACAGAGGCCCAAGTGTTTTCCATACCCTTGCTTGGGACTGTATTCCATCTCTCTTTTGTTTATATTAAAGCTTTTCATAATCTATCTTCCAATCTGCTCCTATTTTGAATTTATGATTATAGAATTGGAGTTAGGAGAGAAAAAAACAAGAACCATATTGTTTTTCTTTAAATTACAAAAAAAGAAAGAGAAACAAATAACCATTTTTTAAAATAAAAAACAGAAAAGTTGATAAGTATGAAATGTATACGTCTCTGCTGGGATTTTCCAATAATTTTGATGCCGGCCTGTGTCATTCCCATATGGAAATCTGAAATCATATGGCTCGGTGATTATTATGTCAATTTGGGAAAAAAGAAAGTGCCTTAATTTCTGGTTTTGAAGGAATCATCCACTCAGAATATCTATCCTTTCACTGTAGATGGTACCAGGAGGTAAAACCTGACCGACGAAGGCAGTGAATGCCTAGCACACCCTCTTCGCATTCACATTTTCTTTGAGCCACAAACCAGTCCTGTTCTCCCTGTTTCTCTCTGTGTTCCTGAGTTTCCAGGCCCCCTTCTCAGGCTGTCAGTCGCAGGGACATCTTCCACCAGCTCCGGAACAGTGAAAAACGGTGGCCGCTTTGAGCCAGTTTGTCTGGGGTGGTTTGTCACCTAAGAAAAGTGAACTAATAGAGCCATGATGATTCTATTCTCAGCTTGTTTTTAATAATCTCACCGCACAGCAGCTTTATCCCAAGCTTGTTCTCTTGAATGAAAATCTCCAAAGATGTTAATTGGCATTCTTTTTAGTGAAATAATTTTGCATATGTACCCCCCATGCATATTTATTTAAACTATACAGCTGTACTGTGGTTGATACATATTTCTATAGTATCTATGATGCTTGGTTTCTTTTTTTAAGATAAAAAGTTAATACAGGGATTGTAATTTTTTTTTGTTTCCTCATTTCAATAGGTCCTCATCTGTACCTTCTGGGTTATATTCATTCCACTCGGGGCCTGTTCTGAAATGCCAAAATCTTTCCCATAATCACCTCTGAAGCATCTTTCCACACATGCTCCATTTGTGCAATTTGTTTTTAAAACTAAACTTAGAGCTTGATTTATTATAATTGCTGATTACTGCAGAGTCCTGTAGGGAATGGATCTTTTCTATCGACCGACCTTAAATAAGTCCCCTTTGGTAAAAAGTATCATTCCTGTCTCTAGCAAACAGATGCACCTGCAATATGTACTGGCTTGTGGTGCCTTTGGCATCGCCATTTCTTCTTGCTATATTTAACCCTTTTGTGTGTTTGTAAATATCCTGTGTCTTTTCCTTCTTTAATACTGATTTTAGAAAGGAGTGTTATGGTTGAGGATACGGGATACCTGTTTGATGTCAGGAGGTTCTGAAATACCTCACTTAGCGGTAGCTGTACTTTTGGTATCTGGGGATTAAGTCTGCAGAGTGAGAAACCCAGAGTTGTTTCTAAACAGATGAGCATTCATCAGTCGCAGTGCAGTCTGGTTGATGTTAATGTTACCCGCTGCCCGTGGGGCAGAGCCATCCCATTCTTCAGCGCTCAGTCGATGCCTAGGCCCCATGGCCCGGGCCGGGGTCAGCCTGGTGGTTAGAGAACCACTGCAGGGCTGACTGCAGCAGGCGTGGCCCAGGGACACACTGCTCGGCCTGTCTGAGTTTTGGCCCCGCAGGGTGGTCGGGGAGACAGCAGTGCTTTTGGAAGTCACAGTCCGGTGGCTTGTGTCTACTGAGCTTCTCTGGGTTGAAGACCTTCCGCTTGAGACCTCGTCTTAACTGTCACAGCCAGTGAACGGGGAGATGAGCGTCATTTTCCCATCTTACATTTGTGGGAATTGAAAGAGAAACATGGCATTTGCTCGGGTTAGAAAACTAAGGAAACAGAGCTAGAATTTGAACTCCAGAACCGCGCCGTGCAGTGCGGCAGTCTTTACCTACAGATGGCCGTTACACTCCAGCCACTTCGGTCCTTCCGTCTCATCAGCACATCTAAAGCCCTCCGGGTTTCAATGTGGCCACCACGTTGCAGGGAAGAGCCGAGGACATCTCTGTGTTCAGTGTGTCCTGCTGGGCACACTGATGTTCAGATGTTGACCGCGACATGCTCTGCAAAGCCTGCACTTGGACCATGGGAGCTCATTCTTCCTTCCCATCCATTTCCTTCCTCACTCACTCCTTTAACCAATGTACTGAGCGCCTACTAAGTGCAAGGAGCCCTGCTGCACTCTGTGGAGCTACCTTGCTTCATTGCTGCCAAGGGCAGATGAAGTGGGCAGGGAAGCAGATTCTAAGTCCCAGAGGAAGCTGAAGTTGCCTTTGCTGTAGCAGAATGAGCCTCTGCATCCTCCAGGGCAGCGACTGTCACTCCTCTTGGAACCCTTCCTTCTCTCCCTTGTGTCCCCTCCCTGGTGCTTAGCCTGGGACAGCACCTGTCCAAAGTGAGCTCAGAGCCTCCTGTTACAGCACACACTGCCTGCTTTTGAGCGCCACCTGACTGGGACCCATAAGCTTTGGGAACCCCCAGGCAGAGGATTGTGGGAACCTAGGCAAGACAGATAGTCTCGGCTCAACCAATCATGTATTTTGACCAGAGCAGAAGACACAAAGAAGCTGAGGAAGTGTTAGTTATGTTAGTGACTATACCATCGTGTTCTTTTCCTACATGACTGTCCCTTTACTGTAATTGGAATAGGTAATCTGAAAAGCAGCTTTATTCTTGTCCACTTACCTAGTACCCACTGACCCAGAGAGTGGGAACAAGCTGAGGCCAAACATTGCAAGTGCACCCCCACGTCTGCAAGGCAAGGCGTCAGTGGGGTGGGGAGGAGTCTCTGTGGCCAAATCAGGCTGCAGGAGGGAACAGTTGGTTAGCAGAGTGACCAAGCTGCTGCTCCTGGAATAATGACAGCAGCAGGTTTGCACTGATTTGCTGGGATGGGATAAAGTCTAGTAATTTTCATTGCCTGGGGACATCATTCCAAAAGATGTTCTAGTTGTGATGGGTTTGGACCACTGGGTGGTCACGGTCATTTCCTCATCCTAGGAAATACTGGATTTTCTCATACCTGATGCCACTGTCCGGGCTGAGGCCTGGTGGACTAGCAGGAGGCCAGCTTTGCTTAGGACCTGCCAAGTTCCTCTTACACGGGCACCATCACTATGGATAGATGTCCTGACCGGGTGATAGGCTTCTCAGTGCTTGGGCTGCTGGAGAACCATGAGGGTAGGAGGAGAAGCACACACCGGCTCCCATGGCAGTCAGCCCACTCATCCTCTGTCATGCCCTAGACAGTGTTTCCTCAGTGACCAAAGTCCATGTGCAGAGGTGAGTAGAATCTGACTCAAGGGTGGAGACAGACAGGAACAGACACAATAGCAAGACAGAGATGCCAAGCCTTCCCCTACTGGAGTCACCACCAGACGCTGGTGAGCCCAGGCAAACAGCCGGTGTTCCCAGCAAAAGCACCTTGAGTGCCTGGGATGTCACCCAGCAGCTGTCGCCATGCTGCATATGTCAAGGTGCTGGGGTCTGTAGCAAAGGTGCTGGGAAACAGTTAATCTATTTCACGGCTGTGTGATCTCACAATTAATGATTTTTAAGTTGACTAAGAGAAGGTGAGGCTAGAGGACTCATGAGGCTTTTTCTTGGTGGCAGTCCCTCATTTTATGTAAATGTTCTGCTTCTGCGGTTCTGTCAGGGTCTCAGAATTGGTCTGTTGAATCATGCCACGCTACAAAGGGCAGTGGCCTGCTGCCCCAGGAGTTTGCTCTGTTATCCTCGTCTTCTGTCCCCCTACTGTCCCCCACGGTGACTCCTAACAGCTTTATGCTCCACTGTTCCTTCCAGCCTGCTCTTTGGGTGACCCAGCTGCCACAACTTCCTGTCTTGTTCTTGTCACATAGGCCTGTGCTTACTGAGTTGCAAAGCACTGTCTGGGTTCATTGATCCACACTTGTTCCCAGGCAGGGTCAGCATTCCACTCCCGCTCCCCACTGGCTGTGAGAGGGTGCGCTGACTTCCTCCACTCCCCGTCGCATCCTCCCCACTGGCTGGCTGCTATTTTTTACCACTTTGGTGTCAGGGCCTTCCGCACACTCAAGAGGAATGCAGCATTTCTGAACAGACTAGCTATTGTCGGAACTGGCTTTTGCTGTCTGGATCCAGGCAAAGTTTAAAGGTGGCTCGGTTGCGGGCGTTTTTGTGGGTTCTTTGATAGTTCCTCTCCCAGAACCCTTTGGCTACCTGTCCCTTGGGCGTGGAGGAGTCCACAATAGCCCTTCTAAGCTCCTTATCAAGGGCCTGCCTCCAATGGTGGTCTCCCATCCCTTTGATGTCCTTACTCTTGCAAGATCTCGGTTCTCTGCATTGACATTTCTGCCTGGAGACCCGGTGCACAGCTCACTCTGACATTTTGGTGTCGCAGTTGAAACTTCCAGCCTGACATCCTGTTCCCCTGGAGGTGGGAGAGGGTGTCAAGGTGGGTAGGAGGAATGGCAACCAGGCGGTTCTCTGGTCACTGCTGCATAGCCCTCTAGGGGTTCTGCTTGTATTTCAAGCCCTTTGTGTCTACCTTCCTGGAGGTTCTTTGACTATCCAGTATCCTTCCAGGAAGGTTCTTTTCTGCTTTAGCCAGCCAGAGTCATATTCTATTTCTTGTAGCTCCACAAATCCTGGGAGTTTGATGAACCCTCCATTTTGATTATTTTCCGTTCTTGTCTCCCTAGTCTGTGGTTAGTCCCCTCCCAAACAAGCTATTTGCAGGAAGATAATCAGGAGAACCCAGTAGAACAGTGTGTCACCAAACTTTTGAAATTTTATAAATGATATCCCATTGTAATTTGAATCTGTGTGTCGCTTTTGAATGAGGTGGAGCCTATCTTCACCCATCTGAATACTTCTCTTTGTACTTCCTGGGACTGATGGTCATCTACTTTGCCTTTGGTCTCTTCAGTTTCTATTAGAAAGATTAGCCTTTATGTTATGCATGCTTTCTAGCTTGCTGTCTGTCTTTGTTTTGATGTTGTGTGCTTTTATTTGTGTGTTTTCATTCCTATCTTCTCTCTCATTCTCCTTTTTGGGCATTCAGGAGATTTTATTTTAATGTATACAAATTAAATAAATCTTTACTTCAACTCCTCTGCATTTTGAAAAGTCATATTTAGAATGTCAATTCTCTACACATCACATTAAAGAAGAACTTAATGATTTATAATAATACTATTTTTATTTCTCATCATGACTTTGCTTTGCTCTGTGGTCTCTTCCAGAATCACCCACCACTACGGAAACTGCCTGTGGTGGTTCGGATCTAAAGTGTCCCCTGAAGGCCACATGCAGAGGCCTGTGCCACCAGCTAATGGGCTGTGGGAGGTGCCTGGACATTCAGCTTCCCCTGCCTCAGTGGGTGAATCCACGGAGGGCTCCTGGGAGGTGGGCTTGCTGAAGGGAGTGTCTCGTGGGTGTGGCCGTGGAGCCTGGGTCCAGTCCCCACCACCTCCTCCCCACCTCCTTCTCTGCTTCCTGTCTCCTGTGAGGTGCGCTGGCATCTACACCACATGCTCCCTGCATGATGTTCCACTTCTTCTGGGCCTGGAAGCCGTGGACCCAGATGGCCATGGACTGGAGCCACAGAAACCGTGTGCCAAAACAGCTGATAGATGTTCCCTTCTTTTGGCCGTGTCCCTGGGAATTTTGTCACAGAGCTGGCACCCACGTCACCCTGGGATTACTTTGCATGAGGTGTCTCATCCCCTTTCACCAGCCACATCTCTTTGCTGTCTGTGTGGCCTTCTCCACACTCACTGGCAGAGCACCCTCTTGAACATTTCCCCAGAGAACAGCCTTCCAAGATCTTTGCTGAGTTTATGTTTTATCTCAATTCCTTTGACCTCTGAAAGTTTACATTTTCTTCCTTCCCTGTAGTTCTTCATTTTTCTCTCATTCTGCTGAAAGTCACTGAGGAGCCTGTGTGCTGTTTTCATACGGCCTGCACCCAGTGTTTCCTGAAATTACAGTGCATTTCTGAGTCAAAGGCTCACAAAATGGGCCTGGCAACTTTTAAAATCCGATTCCTGCAACTCATCACACTGTTGGGTATACTTTTAGCTTATTTTTATCTTGATAGTTGTTCACTTAGGGAGAAAAATACCAAAAATAGGTAGGTAGGTGATAGATAAGCAGACACATGTGACTTTTATTCATCTCCAGAATGTCATAATCTGTCACCCAGATCACATATGTGCCTGAGGTTGATTAAATTCAGTTGTTCCAGCCAAAGCAAATGAATGAGAAGGACTGAACATTTTCTGATTTATTGCTGCCTGTGTGTGGCCATCCCTTCACTTTTAAAAGCATTTCATTTCTACTTCTGGTGCCTTTTTATGATATTCTGGGCCCAAACCCTACTCCCAGGTGCGGATGAGTCACGCTTGCAGGTCCTTGGCTTCTGTCGCTGGAGTAGCATCCACAGAGGCACAGGGGGAGGAAGCCCGCCGCACACTCTGGGCCGGGAGCTAAGGGAAAGCGAGACAGGAAAGCAGCAGAAGCCCTTCCTCTCCTGGGTGTCACAGCTCCTTTGCCCAGGCAGGCCCCTGCCTCTGCTTGTTTACTCACCTGTCGGCGCCAGCCTCAGCTTGCTGC